AACATAATCTTGTCCAGGCGCGGTGGCTCACACACTTAATCCAAACGAAGGCCAAGGTGGGTGGATCACCTGAGGTCAGGAGTTCGAGACCAGCCTGGCCAACATGGCGAAACCCTGTCTCTACTAAAAATACAAAAATCAGCCGGGTGTGGTGGCAAGTGCCTGTAATCCCAGCTACTTGGGAGGCTGAGGCAGGAGAATCACTTGAACTTAAGAGGTGGAGGTTGCAGTGAGCTGAGATTGCACCACTGCACTACAGTTTAGGCCACAGAGTGAGACTTCATCTCAAAAATAAATAAATAAATAATAGTAATAATAATAATCTTTTGCTATCTCCATCTTGTTGATCATCTTTTCTTATCCATGTTTTAAAAATCTTAACAACAGTTATTTTCAGGAAATATATACTATCTTAAGTCTTAGAAATCAAGAAAAAAATTCTTTTGATATATATTAATTAAATTCTTATAATTAAATTGATATATAAACATTAAATTCTTCTGATAAATAAAAAGCCAGTGGCATGTGAATCAAATGATATAAATTGTATTTGCTTTTCCTGAGGAAAAATTTATTGAGAAAAATACTATTTGTTCTCACCCACAATTATTTTGGCTCTTCAATGAATTAAAGCTGTAGTATAAGTTTCAGATTTTCCTAATGATTCTTTTCTCATTTTCTAAAATCTAGGAGTCAGAAGACATTATAAGTAATCCAGTATATGCAATCCCTTTAGAAAGTATTTACTTTTTAAATGCCAAGGGCAAAAATGTGAATGATATGGTCACTATATTTGTCTGGTAAGTTTTAGGCACCAACATATTTTGTTCCTCTTTTGACACAGGTGTATTTTCCTAGCTGAATAAAAACATAACTATGTAAAAATTATATCTGGATAAGAAAAGTTGATAAAACTCTTAAAATTTTGGCCAAAAATTGATTTTATTACTAATAAGATACTTTAAAAACCAAATGCAGATTTGTTTATAGGCTTTTATTAGTCCCTCTTCTCTTCCAAGTATCATGAATGTCACCTTTATATTTTTCAATTTATATGATACATGCTGCCTTGGTGCTTAAGAACATAATAAAAAAATGAAAAGCTAAACTAATCAAAAGCTTCCTATGCTGGTGAGCATAACCTAACATAAAACTATTCTGATGTCTTCCTTTTTAGTGGCTTATGGCCTAAAAATACACTTTGTACGTCTATTGTTCCTACTGACTTCATTTGGAATCTCAGCAAAAGATTTTCATTTTCCTCAGAATTAATTTTTACAATTATTTTAACATAAGAATTACTGAAAGGAGTTAGTATAGATGTTATTTTTAGCATATATATGTATGAACATATGCATTAATTTTTTTCTGACAGTCTTTTCTTGACATAATCTTGGCTGTGCTTTCACAGCTAAATGTTATGATCTGTCACTTATCAAGTATAAGAACATCTTTATAACATCAAGTACTCATAGTGGTCAGGAGCACAGGTTTTAGAGTGAGACAGTCATGCGTTTGAATCGCAGTCTGTTCTTTGCTGTCTATTCAACCTTGCTCAGCCTGAATTTCCTCAATTGTAATATAAAGACGATAAAACCCACCATATGAGGTAGAAATGTTGTGACGATTAAAGCGTAGCCTATTCAAAGTATCTGGAACAAAACACAATACTTGGAATGTGGGATGTAGCTATTATCCATAATCATGTACAATTTAGTACCCATTAACTGCAATATTCATAGACTCCTTGCCCCAGGTTAGGCAAATCATGTTTAACCTAAAACTCAAGAACTTTGGGTTATTTTTGGTTACACAGTTTCTTCTAGTGTCTCAAGCAAAATTTCTACTTCAAGGATATTTTTAGAGAAAAACACATTTAAAAAATTTCCTTAACCTTCATACTGAAGGAATTAACTCTTAAAAAGAAATAGTAAGACAGTTATTTTAAAATATGTCTCCTATATCTGAACATATTATTTTTGGACTATAAGGTAATATAACATAGTGTATTTATTTTGATTGACACATGCAGGATACATGTATTTCGGTGCTAAGCTGTATTATTATTATTTTATTTATTTTGAGACAGTGTCTTGTTCTTTCGCCCAGGTTGGAGTGCAGTGACGTGATCTCAGCTCTCTGGCGCAATCTCAGCTCACTGCAACTTCCACCTCTTGGGTTCAAGCGATTCTTGTGCCTCAGCCTCCCAAGTAGCTGGGACTACAGACGCACGCCACCATGCCCAGCTGATTTTCGTGTTTTTAGTAGAGATGGGGTTTCACTGTATTGGCCAGGCTGATCTCGAACTCCTGACCTTGTGATCTGCCCATTTGGCCTCCCAAAGTGCTGGTATTATAGGCATGAGCCACTGCACCCGGCCACAAAATTATTCTTACAATACACTAGCATTGTGTTGGTGTGTGCTTCCACTAGGAGGCTTATAATGGGAAATCTCAAATATATACAGAAATAGATGGACTGATAATATATACCTTGTACCCATCATAAGCTTTAGGAATTATCATTTTGACCAATATTGCTTTACATATACCCTCATCTACTTCTCCCTTCCAAAATTTGTTGAAGGAATGTTTCCATTTGTGACTCTAAAAGATAAGGACTCATGACCACAATACCATTATTATACTTTTAATATATAATTTCTTTTTAATTTTTTCATTTTTGTGAGTACATAATAGGTATATATATTTATGGGGTACACGAGTGTTTTGTTTTGTTTTGTTTTTGTTTTTTTGAGATGGAGTCTCGCTGTGTCGCCCAGGCTGGAGTACAGTGTGCCATCTCGGCTCACTGCAAGCTCCACCTCCCGGGTTCAAGCCATTCTCCTGTGTCACTCTCCCAAGTAGCTAGTACTACAGGCACCCACCACCATGCCCAGCTAATTTTTGTATTTTTAGTAGAGACGGGGTTTCACCATGTTGGCCAGGCTGGTCTCAAACTCCTGACTTCAGGAGTTCCATCCGCCTTAGCCTCCCAAAATGCTGGGATTACAGGTGTGAGCCGCCGCGCCCAGCCACATGAGATACTTTGATACAGGCATACAATGCAAAATAATAACATCAAAGTAAATGGGGTATTCATCACCTCAAGCATTTATCCTTTCTTTGTGTTACAAACAATCCAGTTATACTCTTTTAGGTTTTTTTAAATGTATGATAAATTATTGTTGATTGTAGTCACCATGTTGTGCTATCAAATACTAGATCTTATTTATTTTACCCACCTATTCTTTATAACCATTAATCATCTCCACTCCCTTTCCCCTCTCCTCTCACTATCCTTCCCAGCCTCTGGCAACTATCATTCTGCTTTCTATCTCCGTTGAGTTCAATTGTTTTAATTTTTAGCTCCCACAAATAAGTGAGAACATGCAAAACTTATCTTTCTGGGCCTGGCTTGTTTCACTTAATGTGATATTCTCTAGTTCCATCCATGATGTTATTGCAAATGAAAGGATCTCATTTTTCTTAATGGCTGAATAGTGTGGTGTATATTGTGTGGTGTATATTTACCACATTTTCTTTATCCATCTAACACATGGGTTGCTTCCAAATCCTGGCTATTGTGAACAGTGCTGCAGTAAACATGGGAATGCAGATACATCTTCAATGTATTCATTTACTTTCTTTTAGATATATACCTAGCAGTGGAATTGCTGAATTATATAGTAGCTCTATTTTTAGTTTTTTGAGGGACCTCTGAACTGTTCTCCATAGTGGTTGTACTTACTTACATTGATATGTTCTTGATATCATCAACTCTCAGTCATTGCTCAGATTTTCAATTGTCTCTTTATTATTCAAATTTTCTTAACAGTTTGTCTGTCTCTCTATTTATTTAGAGATGAAGTCTTGCTCTTGTCCCCCAGGCGGGAGTGCAATGGTGTGATCTCGGCTTACTGCAACCTCCGCCTCCCGGGTTCAAACCATTCTCCTGCCTCATCCTCCTGAGTAGCTGGGATTACAGGTGCCTGTCACCATGCCCAGCTAATTTTTGTGTTTTTAGTAGAGACAGGGTTTCACCATGTTGGCCAAGCTGTTCTCGAACTCCTGACCTCAGGTGATCCGCCCGCCTCGGCCTCCCAAAGTGCTGGGATTACAGGTGTGAGCCACCACGCCAGGCCAGTTTGTCTATTTAAATAAGTATCCAAGTAAGGTCCACAAATTGGGCTTGTTTGATACATATTTTAAGGTTCATTTAAACTTCCTACAGCTTTCTTCTTGCAGCATATTTGTTGAAGAAACTAGGTCATTTGTAGAATTTCGCACAGAATGGATTTTGCCATATAGTTTAACTTATACTTCTGTGTCTCTTTTAAAGTTATTGTAATTAAATATAGAGGCTTGATCAAATCCAGGTTTGATTTTTGTGTGTGTGTGAGGGGCAGTACTACTTTGTAGGTAGGTGATTGTATGAACCTCCATTAGGAGGCTAATATCTGTCTGGTTGTGTCTCTTTTTGATGATAGGCAACCATTCAAGTTCAATTCTTCGATTCACTAATTTATTAGGTATTGCAGAATCCTGATATTCTAACTCTTTCTGTCTTAATTTATTAGCTGTAATATTTATAAAGAGAAACTTTCATGTATTATTTTGGCTTAACTGATAACCCGTAAGAGCAGTCTATAGTGGCATCAATCCACAACTAGTATTTTTAAATATCTGCTAACTCGATGGTCATTATAGTTCAGAAATTGTGATTAAGATTTATAACTATATGTTTATAGATACAGATACAAATCTCTCTATATATTTAATTAAAGCTTAAGTCATTAAAGTAAGAATATTAAAGGTATACCAAAGGCCATGAATAATTATACATCTAAGTTTAATTTAAAAATGAAATACCTAAAGTTTATATACCAATGTTATAAATTCCAAAATATATGCAATTTTTAGCTAGAATTTTCTGACATATTGGTCTCTTGTGTTTATTTTGTTTGTAATATATTATTTCTATAAAATGTTAATTAAAAGGGAATGCAGTGGTGTCTTTTGAAAGAAGAGGATGTCATTCCTCGTATCAGGGCAATGGAAGGCCGTAGAGGAAGACCACCAAATCCAGACAGACAGCGAGCAAGAGAGGAATCCAGGATGAGACGTCGGAAGGGTCGACCTCCAAATGTTGGCAATGCTGAATTCCTAGATAACACAGATGCAAAGTTGCTAAGAAAACTGCAAGCTCAAGGTAAGAAACATAATGTGTCTGACACTAATAATCATACTAAAAAGTATACTAAAAGTATTTCTAATATTTTTGAATTAGGATTGACACTGCTCTCAATTTTTAAAAAGTAAATATTTGTGTTAGAATAAAATGAAAAAATAAGGAGTCCCACTGGTAACTGGAGTTCTTTGATTAGGTAATCTTTCCAGAACCATTATTCATAAACACATCCTATCCTGTCTATTTAGAATGACAAAGGTGGGTGTTAAGCTTTTAAGGCTTGCACAGAAAGGGAATCAACCAGCACTTGGCACATGCCTTAAGGTCGTGCCAACCTTCTGGAAATTCTCATTTTAACAGCTCCCGATTCCTTGAGGTGGTACATGGGAATAACTCCAAAATATGTGGATCTGTGGAGTAAATTTTCAGTCAGAGAACTCCAATTACTGGTAAGTAACCCCAGTCTTTTAGTTCAGGTTCTCCTGTAAGTCCAGATGTAGTATATATATTTTCAGAATACCAAATTAATACATTTAAATCAAAAAGTAAGATAACCAGAAAGTATCATTTGTCAAGTTCAAAATGCTCATAATAACCTAAACTGTATTAATGATTTGACATTATACATAAGTTCTCAACATGAAAGTCCCATGCTATGTATGGCAAAGAGAAGGCTGAGTAAAATAGAACAGTTTGGCTTTGCAGTTTGCGTTACTAGTTACAAATGTGAAGCCGCTTAAGGCTGTCTGAATATATCAACATATGTGTAGATACCTTGTATTTGCAAGGCATATATGTAAAGATATGTAACGATGTAAAATAAAGGTTTAATAATGAAACTGACTTAAAAATCTAACAGAATTTTACTTCTCATGGGTTTTTATTATGCCTATAAATAAGCAAAATGTCGAGGAAATGTATAGAAGACTTGTTTCTATGTATTGTAAACACCATCATAATATTGACTTCTCTGTTGCTGCTTTGCTTTTTGTTATAAAACAAATATCCATGACAAAACTCATACTATAGAATGCTTTAAAGACACATGTAATCTTAGTGCTTTGGGAGGCCAATGTGGGAGGATTGTTTGAGGCCAGGAATTTAAGACCAGCCTGGGCAACAAAGCAAGACCCCATCTCTACAAATAAAATTTAAAAATTAGCCAGCTTTGGTGGCACGCACCTATAATCCTAGCTATTGTGGAGGCTGATGTGGGAGGATCCTCTGAACCCAGGAATTCAAGGTTACAGTGAGCTATGATCATGCCACTGCACTCCAGCCTGGGTGACAGAGTGAGATCCTGTGTCTAAAAAATAAATAAATAAAATAAAAGACACTGTCATTCTTATCAGTGGAATAATTAATCTTTCCAGAAATATGTATACACATACATACACATGCGACCATTCACATGTACATGTATATCCTTTTTGATTTTTAAAATAAATGGACTTGAATCAGTCTCTTTTTGATGACTGTTTAAGCTATTTCCAGATCTTTGCTATCATACAATTGTAATAAATATATATTACACCTTTCTAAGCATATATTATACAAATCTAAACATATTATACAAATCATTTTCAAGTTTTTGTGGATAGCAGGCAGATATTGTCTCCAGTTTATACTTTGACTAATAGCTTAACTGCCTAGCATATAACTTAATATCATATAAGTTTTTTTGTCTTAGTGTGTATATTAGTCTATTCTCACACTGCTATAAAGTTACTACCTGAGACTGGGTAATTTATAAAGGAAAGAGGTTTAATTGACTCACAGTTTCGCATGGCTGGGGAGGCCTCAGGGAACTTACAATCATAATGGAAGGGGAAGCAGCCACCTTCTTCACAAGGCACCCAGAAGAGAGAGAGAGCAAGGGAATCTGCCACTTAGAAAACTCAGATCTCGTGAGAACTCACTTACTATCATGAGAACAGCATGGGGGGAACCCCTGCAATGATCCAATCCCCGCCCACCAAGTCCCTCCTTCAACACATGGGGATTACAGTTTGAGATGAGATTCAGGTGCGAACACAGAGCCAAACCATATCAGTATGGTAGTCAGATTTTTTTTATTTGATTTGATTTCTTATAAGACTTTCATCCCAAAGAGTTACTGGTGAAGGTTAAAAAGAAAAAGTCAGTAAATTAACAGGCATAGATGGGTTTTAAAAATTGATATTGTCAGTAAGCTATTGACTCTTCTGAATAATGTTTAATGCTGGGGAATGTGGACATTGTTTGCATAAAATAAGAAAGTTTGAAATTAACTGATAATCAAAACATGGGCTCTTCATGGATATTTGGTATATCTAAGTATCATTATAAGTTAGAATCTAAAATAGCAAATTTAAATTTGGAAAATTAACTATATTTTTGTTGTAACAAAGTAAAAGTTAATTATTCAACTTTTACCAAATGTATATTCTCCTTCCAGATTTCAAATTGATTTGTATTCAATCACATAGTTTATCCTTGTTATAATATACTGGGTTGCATTTTGCAAGTTCTGTTACCTTTGACCTTATTGTATATTGCATGTGCTCCTTTTCAACATGTATGTAAAGATTATTTAACAGTGAGTAAATAATCATTATTAATATATACAAGTATATGGAGTATTGTTTGCATTTTTTCTTGGGAAGAAAAGAAAGTAAAAATGAAGCACTTTATCACCTCTTTCATTTCTAAAAGCCTTCTACAGTAACACTTTGGGGGTTATCTGAGAGGATTCTAGAAGAAGTTTTTGTTATATATTATTATCCTTCTCTGACCAGCTAGACTGAGAAACCGGACTTAATTTGAAGAAGGGTTCAGAATAGTGAGATAAATGTGAGTTTAGAATGTACATCCAAACATTGTGAAATGAGAACTCTAATTTCTCAGTGTATAGGTAAAAATCTGACAAAGTTTGAATATGATAAAGACTTCCATTCTGTATAAATAACCTGCTTATTGATTGACTGATACTATTAATATCTCAAATTTTCCAAAATAACAAGTACACCTATTCATTTCATATGTGATTGAAACTGAGATGCCTATAAGTAATCTATACCAGGCACCATTATTTTAAGATGTACACTAAGAAAGAAAAGAGCTGCCAGTTGTCAGTTACATTCTGACCTTAGGGATATCAAGATGTTTAAAAAAGCATCTTAAAATCAAAGAAATGAGTTATATCCAAAATATCCCTAATTCTATATGAAAATAAACTTCATCTTTGAAATTAAAGTGGACAATTTCGTAAGCCACAAAAGATACTTCTCAAATTAATATTTTAAAAGGTAATTACAATATATTCACCAACCAAAAAACCAAATATATGAGAAGATACTGGAAGTAGTTTATTTCTACAGCTTGGACAAACTTTTCAAGGTATCTAACTCATTCTCTTTCCTTTGTATTCTCTTTTTTTCTTTTTTTTTTTTTTCTTTTTTTTTTTTTAAATTTTAAGATGGAGTTTCACTCTTGTCACCCAGGCTGAAGTGCAATGATGCGATCTTGGCTCACTGCAACCTCTGCCTCCCGCAATCAGCGATTCTCCTGCCTCAGCCTCCTGAGTAGCTGAGGTTACAGGCACCCATCACAATGCCCAGCTAATTTTTGGTATTTTTAGTAGAGATGGGTTTTCATCATGTTGGCCAGGGTGGCCTCAAACTCCTGACCTCAGGTGATCCCCCGCCTTGGCCTCCCAAAGTGCTGGGATTACAGGCGTGAGCTGCTGTGCCCGACCTTTTTCTCATGTCATCTTCTTTTCCAACTGCCCATAATGTAAAATTTAAGCTATGTAAATTTTTAATGATTAATTAAAATTTTATATTTCTTGCTAAAGTAAAAAGATGTGAATTGAACTTTAAAATTTTTTTGGTCCAAAGATTTTTCTAAATTACTGGCCAGACACAGTGGCTTATACCTGTGTAATGCTAGCACTTTGGGAGGCCAAGGTGAGAGGATTGCTTGAAGCCGGGAGTTCAATATCAGCCTGGGCAATAAAGCAAGACCACAAAAAGAAATTTTTTAAAAATTATCTGGGCAAGGTGGTACACTCCTATAGTCCTGGTTATTCAGGAGGCTGAGGGGAGAGGATAACTTGAGCCCAGGAGTTGGAGACTGCAGCAAGCTATGATCATGCCACTGCATCTGGGTTACAGAGTAAGACCTTGTCTCAAACAAATAAACAAAAATTATTGTGGACTTGTGTAGGGCTTGAAATTGACTGATACACTCATACACAAACATGGTTCTATATATATTATAGAATTTTCTTATTAAAAGTTAAACTTATATTAGAGAATATCAGTTTAGCTTGGAGCAAAAGAGCATACTTATGCCATATTTTCTAGGAAACGTTTCTATCAGTACATCTTTACATCTCAAGACAGAGTCAGGTCTCTATTGTAGAATTCAAAACTTTCCATCCTTAATGTTAAAGAAATATTTATCTGGCATTATTATAGATGAGAATAATATTCTTCACCCGTATTATTATCAGAGGTTGCTGACCCTGCAGGTCAGTTTATAAGTTTTTATGTCCCAGAGTATTTAGTGAACAGGAGATCCTTTTTGTGTGACCCAGAAATTTTTGATGATGCCTGTAACCTCCTAATTTTGAAAACGGTTGGGACATTGGAGATAAAACTTTATCATCTTCCATTTTATTTTTCAATAACACTTCTAGTTTACTAGATGAAATTTGATTCTTTTCATTCCTTCTCCTTCTTAAAAGTCTCAGTGATAGAAAATTGGCCATAGTGACCAACTTTACTTCAGCTATTATGAGGACATACAGTTACATTCTTAGCTAAAATCTTAAGGCATTTAAACTTTGCTTAAAGATTTTCAGAGATAGTAGCATATAGACTGTGGCGTCAGAAAGTCCTGGGGTTTCTTTGGGGGTTTTTTTGAGAGAGAGTCTCACTGGAGTGCAGTGGGCAATCTCAACTCACTGCAACCTTTTTCTCCCGGGATCAAGCGGTTCTTCTGCTTCAGCCTCCCAACTAGCTGGGATGACAGGTGCCCACCACCATGCCTGGCTAATTTTTGTATTTTAGTAGAGGTGGGGGTTTCATATGTTGGCCAGGCTGGTCTCGAAGTCCTGACCTCAAGTGACCCACCTACCTCAGCCTCCCAAAGTGCTGGGATTACAGTCATGAGCCATCGTGCCCAGCCAGTCCTGGGTTTTTTTTCTTGACTATGCTATTTAACCTCTAGGAGCCTTAATTATTTTACGTGTAAGTGGGGCAATAATGTTGATCTTATAAAGTAGCTGTGAACATTAAACAAGGTGATATAAATTTAACACAACAGGCCGGGCGCAGTGGCTCACACCTGTAATCCCAGCACTTTGGGAGGCCGAGGCGGGTGAATCACGAGGTCAGGAGATCAAGACCATCCTGGCTAACACGGTGAAACCCCATCTCTACTAAAAATACAAACAATTAGCTGGGTGTGGTGGCGGGCGCCTGTAGTCCCAGCTACTCGGGAGGCTGAGGCAGGAGAATGGCGTAAACCCAGGAGGCAGAGCTTGCAGTGAGCCGAGATCGTGCCACTGCACTCCAGCCTGGGCGACAGAGCAAGACTCTTTCAAAAAAAGAAAGAAAGAAAAAGAAAATTTAACACAACGGTACCTGCAATCAATAAATGGTGGAAATTTTTAAGAGCTCAAGTGATTCACGTGTTAGCAATTATATTCATTGTCAATGAACATAATTTAGGTTTCTTTGTTCAGTGACTACAAAATTTATAACAATGTCTAATACAAAGTGATGCTTTCTAAAATGATGATATGATCAACATTATACACCACTTTTAGCGTTAGAAGTATTCAGACCAAGTTTACCAGCAGAAGCAAGCAAGGATATTGCATGGTTTCTTTGTCTGTTATACCCTTTGCCACAATAATGCTCGGTAACAACCCCCAAACCTTAGTAGCATACAACACTTTCTTAATCACTTGTGCAGATGGAATCAGCTGGAAATTAGCTAGGCAGCTTTGCTTATCTTGGCTGGGCTTATTCACATTTGTGGGGTCAACTGGCTCCCTGTGTCCCAATCTTCCAATAGCCTAGTCCCCAAATCATATCTTCAGTCATGGACAAAGCACAAGAACAAAAGCAGAAAGAATATAACTAAACTTTCAAGCTCTGTTTTCATCACAACTGCTAACAACCTCTTAACCATGGAAAATCACATGGTTGACTTCAGAATCAAGGGACAGGAAAATATATTCCACCTCTTGATGGGAATTGCTCCAAAGTCACATTACAAATGGCACGAATAAAAGGAGGAATGAAGAATTGGAGCCATTAATTTTGTTCATCTACCATAGTTTCATACATGTGTCCTTGAAGATAATAAGAACTAGGTTGTCTTTAAAAGTCATTGAAATTCTGCATTCTTTTCATTTAGGAGATTTAGTCCCTCTCCGTCATAAATGAAAATACCACTGGATTCAGGAACTTAACCATTATAGCTAATTGAAATACTAAGTTTGGGTGGGAGGGGACTTTTATATTTGTTTTAATTGGAAGTCTTCCTTTTTTATATACGCTAGGACTGAAGCTACATTACAATTCTTAAAATACTAGCAGCTATTTTCCCACTAAGTGGGATTTACTTGAAATGTGAAAAAAAATGTACTTAAATAAGCCTCTCTGATAAAGATTAAAAGAAACCTCATTTTTATGTAGTCCTAGATATGGGATCATATTTGATGAAATAATTTGATTATTTCCGTTGGAATGAACACGACATTGTCTACCACACCACTCTCCTACTTGGTATCTGTCTGACCTTAGGCAATTTTCTTGAATATTATATCCTCGGCCGGGCACAGTGGCTCTCACCTGTAATCCCAGTCCTTTGGGAAGCCAAGGCGAGCAGATCACGACGTCAGGAGATCAAGACCATCCTAGTCAACATGGTGAAACCCCGTCTCTACTAAAAATACAAAAATCAGCTGGGTGTGGTGGCGCGTGCCTGTAATCCCAGCTACTTGGGAGGCTGAGGCAGGAGAATGGCTCGAACCCAGGAGGCGGAGATTACAGTGAGCCGAGATCGCGCCACTGCACTCCAGCCTGACCACAGAGCGAGACTTCATCTCAAAAAAAAAAAAAAAAAAAATTATATCCTTTATGATGATACCATTTTCACACAGTTACTGTTTTAGGTTAGTAGTTACACAAAGTTGTTAATATTCTTTGAAATTTTGTGTTTTTTCAGAAATAGCCAGGCAAGCAGCACAAATAAAGCTTTTGAGAAAACTTCAAAAGCAGGAACAGGCTCGAGTTGCTAAAGAAGCCAAAAAACAACAAGGTGAGTGATTTAAATGATAACATAAACTCAAAGAGTCAGTACTGGGGAATTCATGAGAGGTTTCTTTTCTTCATTCCCTTCTTGATGATATCTATCCTTTGGCTTCTTGTTGTAGCAATAATGGCTGCTGAGGAGAAGCGAAAGCAAAAAGAACAGATAAAGATTATGAAACAGCAGGTATGTGTATGTATTGGAACTGACTTTTAAAATATGGGACTTATTTTGAGGATTTGTTAATAATGTACATTATTTTTTATTTCTTAAATAACTGTATTTCACATTAATGTTTGTGTCTTATTTAGAAAATTGCTATCTTCTCTTAATTAAAATTTTACCTGTTTAATAAAGTATTCTACTTCCAAGTGTTTAAAGAAATGATTACCAAACAGTAAATTTGTGTAAGTACTTTAATATCCTTGTAGACTTTGTATAAGTTGATATCTTGAACAATTTTCAGAATTTTTAAATTAATATATCAGTCAATGAAGTATATTACCCGAATGTTCAAATTTTAATAAAGCCTGTTGTTCTTAAACATGTAAAATATTAGTAGAAAATTAAATTTAAGTTATACAAAATAAGATTTGCCTTCGTTGCTTCTGAATGCTTTCAGGGTTACTTAAAAGTTGCCACTGCAAAAAAAAAAGATGAGAGCATTATTTTCGCAAATCCAGAGTTCTCTGTCTTGTATCTACAATATTTCTCCCCGTGTGGTTTTCAAAATTAAGTTTAGGTAAGAGAAGTAATTTTTAAATTTTCATAGATAAAAATTAAGTGAGAAGGTATTCAGCTTCATTTAAGATGAGAATGTGTAAACTACTCTCCCATCTCCTCATATTCATGGTAACATTAAAGCAGAAAGGAAATGGGAGAAAGTACTATTCTTTTAAAAATGTTAGGAAGCAAGTAGTTATTTCTGAGAATGAAATGAAATCAATTATGTTACTATATAAATACCTGCTAAATAAGGGGCTTGGGTTGGATTTGATGTGATTATCTCTAAGGTTTCTTCCAGTATTAACTAAAGCAATATGACTAGAAAAGTTGCTATAGAGTTGGGATTTAGGATTTGAGTTTGTAGTCAGGCAGCCTACGGTTAAATATGGGCTCTGCTACTTAATAATTTTGTGACCTTAGATGAATGACTTAACCCTTAAGTCTTTATTTCTTCCATCGTAAAAGAAGTTAATTGCAATATCTGAATAAATGAGATAATGAACGTAAAGTGCCTACTGCAGTGACCGGCAACAAAACACATGCTCAACTTTTTAAAAATAAATATAAAACATCCAACTACACAGTATACTCTTTTACCACCATAATTTAAAGTAGCAGTTGTAAACTTGAATTCCATCCTTAGTTTGTTAATTGTGACTGCTAGACATTGTAAGATTGACCTGAAATAGGCTAATGAATGCATTTGTTAAAATATATTTACTAAAGAGTATATATGAAAAAATAAGTTCATATTTCATTTGTAAGTGAAATACTGTTGTTTCTGTTATACTTTTATTTAAAAAGTTTTATAGCTTATTCTATTTCCTAATGGCTGGAGACTCATTAGATCCCATCAGTACTTTAAATTCAGCTTTATGATCTTAAAGTCTTACAGTAGCTACAACCTAAATCCACATGGTCTTTGCTACTCATTGAAAAAGCATTGAGCTCCAAAGTTTCCAGCAACATTAATGCAAATGAACTGGTCTTAATATTTATCAAGATATTTATCTGAGGCCAATCTCAGAATACCATCTCATTTATTTGATTCAACAAAGTGAATCGAAGTATAGAGTAATTCTACTCATACTATCTGTTATATAGGGTCTATTTTAAAGTCAGCGTTTGATCTAGAATAAAATAGGGTATGTGTTTTCATCCTTTGGATGATTTTTTCCACCTAGTAGACCAAAAATATCACCAGGCAGTCCTTAAGACAGTTTTCTGGAAGATTTCAGAAACATTACTACAAAGCAGGAGGCACACAGGCATTGGGATCTGACCAGGATTCTGTATTACTACGTATTGGACTTCAGACAAAATATTTACTTGCTGAGAACCTCAGTTTTCTCTTATATAAAAAGAAGATAATTTAAGCTTCTATGATTTTTTAATGATTGATAAGATATTAAATGTAAAGTGACCAGCTCAGTGGTTGAGTACCCGACATTGTAAAGTTAACCTGTATTATAGTAATTTACCATGTTTATCTTATCTACATGCTAATGATAACACTACCAAATATATATGGATATATATAAAAGTCACTTGAATAGTTAAGATAAAGCTTTAGATTGTGTATGTCAGCCCCAAGATTCCCTGCCTATCTGTGCTTAAGAGAACAATGAATGACTTTTGCTGACTGAAAACATAGCACCTTATAATGTTATAATTGACAAGAGCAGGAAAGTTAGATCAAGAGTATGCTTTTCTCAGATATCAAGTTCTAATTCAAATAAATACTGCAAATATGGATCAAATACAATCTTTTCTAAGACTTGGAAATTAAACAAAAGATACACTTTGGGGTTTTGGGTTTTATTTTTTGTTTTGTTTTTCTTTGTTTTGTTTTTTGTTTTTTTAGACAGAGTCTCCCTCTGTTGCCCAGGCTGGAATTTCAGTGGCATGATCTCTGCTCACTGCAGCCTCCGCCTCCGGGATTCCAGCAGTTCTCCTGCCTCAGCCTGCCAGGTAGCTGGGATTATAGGCATGCACCACTACACCCGGCTAATTTTTTGCATTTTTAGTAGAGACAGGATTTCACCACCTAGCACTGTTCATTTCTCGAACTCCTGACCTCAGGTGATCTGCCCACCTCGGCCTCTCAGAGTGCTAGGATTACAGGTGTGAGCCACAGTGCCCGGCCCACTTTGAGGTTTTTATTTTTGACAGCCTACAATTAATACTCAGTACCAAGATACGATCACCAAAATCAAAGAATGTGATCAGTCTTGTGAAATCAGAACAGTAATCCCTAAAATTTCATCATCCTGCAGTAGACTCCTGCAGGGAATCAATAACATCAGTGTACATAAAACAATTAAAATGTATATCAAAGTATAGCTTCAATAAGTACAACTAGCATCTGGAGATAGGAGCAGGCATTGTGAAATACAGGTGTATAAAATGTGTTGGCCCTGGAAATTCTAGGATAAGTACAGTTTTCAATTAGGAAACTTTGAATTTTCTTTTTTAACTTGTATTTATTCTCATCAGTGCCAATTTGGGACTTCTGAATGGATTAAAGAACATGAAATTTCTAAGAATGTTTTATAGAATATGAGATAATTAATATGAGATAATTTTTTAAATTAAAATGTAAATTTTTGTCAAAATTTATATGATCACTAAGTTATAAAACATATCCAATAATCAGGTTATTAAATTTAGACAATGTGTACCCCAATTGTGTCCTACAAATAATTTCCTGGAATGTTAAATTATAATTAATTAATTTTAAAATAATGTTACAGGTTATTTCTGAAATGGGCTAATTGTGATAATTATAAGCAATGTTATATTGTCATGCTATTCAACATGTGAAATAAATTTTAGAATGGAAATTATTGTTAATAATGTTACAATTGTGTCACTGTATACTTTTTAAAGCATTTTATTTAATCATGACAAATGAGAAAGGGCAAACACCTCTCTCTATTTTACACAAGAATAGTTATTATTTGCTCAAGACCATTCAATAAATGACTGTAATCCAGAACTGGCTATATGTTTTCTGACTGCTGATACATGATTTTTCTACTATTAAGTCCTATATTTATTTCAAGTTAAGTATTATTTGTAATTGCAAATATTTATAAAGATCTTCAGGCTATATAGTTTAATCAGCTTGCTTCGCTGAGTTTCTGTTTATTTAGCATTTGCATTTTACAAATTATGAGAAACTTTATCAAATCATATTAGTTTCAGACATGAAAATATATATGATTTTATACTAAATAATTAAATTTTTATGTCCCGCCTTTGGTAATTTTGTACTTATATTTTTATTATTTGATTCTGCTCAAATACTCTTTACTCAGTTTATTATCTCAAGTTATCATAACTTTTCCTACAGGAAAAAATTAAGAGAATACAGCAAATCAGAATGGAAAAAGAACTTCGAGCTCAGCAAATTCTAGAGGTAGAATTCTTAAATTTAACATAATTAAAGTAATATAGCCATATATTTTTAAGTCTGCAAAAATAAAGATTTTACATGCATGTTTTCTCACGTTTGTCAGATACTCTCTTTAAACATTCTGCATAGAATAAAACTTTATCTGAACCTTATTTAGCAAGCTAATCTAATCCCAACAATAAAGATATACAAAATGAGACAAAAGAAACAGGAAAACTTCTGAGCAGTCAATGGAGTTGTCATAAAGTTCATGCGCTAAAATATTTTACTTTTATAAAAGTAAACAACAAAAGAAAAATCATTAGGGCTTATAGTCCGATATTTACTTTTAGTTTAGAAACAAATGTTTACAGAAGTAAACATTTCAAAAGTAAAAATAAATTTTAAATGTACAAAGTTTTATCAGATTGTTTTTCTGATTTCTAGCATATCCCTCTTCCCTGCAAGGCTAATTAGAATAGAGATAGAGGGGACATCTGTTGGCAACAGCAAAAGTAATAGGCAAAAGATAGCAAGGAAAAAATACAGGGAAACTTCAGCTAGCACATATAGGAACTGAAAAGCCTAGCAACAGCCTGTAATCTTTTATTTGAATAGCAAACAATTTTCAAAACCTTAATAGCCCAAAGGCATTACTCTTTGGAGCTGTGCAGTATGACTGATGTTCAAAATAATTGCCCTGAGTCATCAAGAATACGCCAAATTAGACACAGTACACAGTACACAGGCATAGTGGTGTCTAAGCAGGCACGTCTCAAAATTATTTCCATCTGAAATAGTGAAAATAAACTTCATGTTTAAAATTATTACAACTTCTCCACCATTCCGGAAACTGCTGCCTTATAGAGCAGTTTATTCCCTGAGGGCTCCAGATAACTGAGGTTTTCTCTGTTACAGTTTTATTCCTTCTAGAAATACACACATATTTTCTTACCCATTTCAAATTAATTTTAAAAACCAGAAATTGAAAATATTATTTTAAAGTAAACTGACAATAACCGCTAGGTAGTTATGAAACTTCTACACAGTTCATGATTTTAAGATTATGAAGCTTATGTTTGATAAATAGCATGATCTTAATAGTCAGATTGTGACTCATGAAAGATAAGATTACAAGTTTTCATTCTATTAAAAAAAAAAAAAACACTTGAACTTAACCACACTATACAGAGATGGGGAAAATCAGACCTAATATGCTTAACTTAAAAGATATAATCCAATAATGAATTTCTTTATCTCAAATTTTTAAGATTTAAAAGTAAATTTTAAATAAAGTTAACATGTTCATTCTCAAATATTACTAATTCTTGAAATAATTTTTATTTATCAATTGAAATCTATTCTGTTTTCTAAATGTTTTACAGTGATTATGTTTTACTTTTAAAATCAGAAAAACAATAAATGACATAAAATCATTTTTCTGTGATTAAATTTTAAGGTAAAAGAACATAAACACTCAATTATTTCAGACTTTTAACAGAGCTTGAAGAAGAAAAGCTGTCATATTCTTATGAATCTAAGAAATTTTTGTGTGTTCTAATGCTAACCTATAAATTAGAAACACAATTATTACATTAAACATAATGTTAACTGGGGGGAAATCTGTAATTGTCTCCATATATGTTACATATTGTTTCGTACCTTGTGAGACATGTAGCTTCATTTCAAGTCTGACATTATTTGCAAGTTGTAGTGGTGCTGTTGCATGACTTTGAGACCTGTTTTGCATGCACAGGCTAAAAAGAAAAAGAAGGAAGAAGCAGCAAATGCCAAATTATTGGAGGCCGAGAAACGAATAAAGGTTAGTTTAGATGAGAATCAGAGCTTTTACTTTTGAAAAATAAAAACTGTATGTTATACTGGCATCAATTATATGAAACAATATGTCTTCAAAATGACTATCTGAATATATGTTTAGCAGATACAGCATGTGTATAATGTATGTTTTTATTTGTATGTATACTGTATGTGTATTTTTATTTTATTATGCAGGGTTTTTTTGTAATGCTTTGATCTCTTTAGGAGACATCAAATCAGAAATGCAAATTGTTGCTTAATACCTGTATGTAGTTTTGCTAAATAAGAATGACTCCCCCAAAAAATCTGTTTTGTGTGTTTTTTATGTTTATGTTTAGCCATAGACTAGATATGGTATAGGTATGTTTATTTTTGTGTCTCAATCTGATTCTCCCCTTTATAACTTTTTCTTTGTTAATATTCAGCAACTGTTTTATCTATTAAAAATGAAAAGCCTACAGAAACGAAAGCCAAACCTCATCAACTGTTATTTACCAATAACAAAATTAGCTGTTTTTAATTATTTTAACTTCAAGTATTTGGGGATGTTTTGTTCTGATTTCCTGGCATGGAGTATAAGAGAGATGTCCCCTTCCTCCCCTCCCCCACCCTGCCATCCACCAGTAACTGAATACTGAAAGGGGGTAGCTGGGTGAACCTACTGGTACTGGAAAGAGCCACCACAGTTATACTTTGTAAAGCCAGGAACTGTTTATCTTTTCTACATAGACTCTCTTACTTTATTTTTTAAATTTCTACCTTTTCATGTTTGCCGTTAATATTAATTTCACCATATTTTACCTTTATAAAAATAATGAGATTGGTGACGTTCCTTGAATGGTTTGCCTTACACCCCATCCCCTTGGAATGGTGCCCTGAATCATAGGTGGACATGAAAATTTCACACTGATTGCCTAGTTTTTATCACTTTAATTCATATGTAGTGTATAGAAATGAAAAACATGATGTTAATTATAGAGTATATTTGAGAGTTCATATTCAGAATGGAGAGAGTTCTAATTGGCTAGATTTGAGGGTTGCACCATAATGTATCACACTGATTAAAAAATACATGTGTGGGTTATATCTGATAGACTCTGACCATCTAGCTAGTTAGTTCAATGAATGTGCCATTGAAATGTGCAGTTAGATCAGTCATTCATTAAATTTTAAGTAAAAATGACTGCTAAAGAAAGATCCTTGCTACCATATTTGCTATGTTATACACTTTGTATGTAAGTATTTGTTGGGTAGAAGCATACAAAATCAAATTGACATTTTATAAGTAAAAAATTATTGAATATTGGCCATTTCATATGGTTCAACCTAATGGAAGACTATAGAATCTCAGAAAAGGAACTTTTAACAATTTTAGCATGTTCTAAATCTTCTCTAAAAATCATGTATTAAAAGTTTCTTATTTTTAAGGAAAAAGAAATGAGAAGACAACAAGCTGTTCTTCTGAAACATCAGGTCTGTAATGTATAGTTATACAACTGTTGAATGTACATTTTATACCATTGCTTAAACCTATTTGGGGGAAAATCTTCAAAATATTTTCTTTAAAATTTCTGATATAATTTCTGCTTAAGTTTTTCCTTCAACCTACAGTTTATTGCCTTGCTTTGGTATTGGTGTCTTTTTGGGGGGTTGAAAAATTGGTTTTATGACTCTGTGATTTCTGTTTCATAATGTTGTGCCAACTCTTTCTACCAGGAGTTGGAGAGGCATAGACTAGATATGGTATGGGTATGTTTATTTTTGTACATCTAACACCGCATTGTGATTTGGTTGTGATATGGTTGTCATAGCAATGCATAAAGTGTAGCACTGGCTGCTGTCATATTACATACTGCTGCATGGCTTACAGCACAGTGCATTGCATACATCTGCTTGTCTGTCTATAAAGAAGTATGATGCATCTCCAAGATTTTACACTGAATTGTACAAGCCTTAAATAAGGCTGCTGTCTAAAAATTTACATTACTGATGTCACAAAGAAAGTTGGATCACTATACAATTAGGTATAATTATGACCAATATTCTCCCATCATTCTAGATGCAAAACTGCCATTGAATACAGTGGGAATTTTGAGTTTGCTTGATGAGAGAATATGAAATATATTCTGGTTTCATAGACAAATTTTAGAAATAATTTTGGAAATATCCCTTTGGAGAAACCAAATATGCTTAAACAAAAAAATCGATTAGATATTATAAATATGTGATTTTTTTATTTTAAAAGTAAAGTGAGATTATCAAATTAAACCAGTGCTTACCTTATTTTCATACTGTGCCTTTAAGATTCCACCTGTTAGCCCATGGTGCAGCTTTTGTGGCTTTAAATAGTGTATCAGGTGGTAGACATCAGTAAATAGGAATATCCCATTTCACTGGTGTTGTATGTGAAACAAGACTAGTTTAACTAAATTGGTATAAAAGCCTTAAAAAATCTTTAATTTGTTGGTGGCTTATTGGATTTACAAAATGATTTTGTAGTTGAAATAAAATAACCAACTCTAAAATCATGAAGTTAAAGTGACTATAAATCAATTTCTTCCTGATCTAAAATTTTAAGAACAACACAACCTTTGGTTTAATTGGCCATAGTATTTGTGGTTTTTCTAATAGCAGATGTAAGGTAACTGACCTGTTCCAGCCAACCATTATGCTTTTCGTTCTGCCAGCTTTTGAAGGAGCATCACAACTGACCATAAGTAAATCTTGTATGCTTCTGTTTACACTGTCTCCATGTTCATTGCTTTACCTTTTTGCTTTTGATTGTTCTTGTATTTGCTTTCTAAACCTGAACTAAAACATGCACAGACTGGCCATTCTTGTCTTATATTTAGTATTTACTGTGACTTGTCTATAAATGCTAAACATGCTATACTGAGTTTTTGTTTTGTTTTTGTTTTTGTTTTTCCATTGGAAAATCAAACTGTTAATTGTGGTTGAGTTATTTTCCACATTTTATCTGGCCTAATAGGAACGAGAGCGAAGGCGACAGCACATGATGCTTATGAAAGCTATGGAGGCTCGTAAAAAAGCAGAAGTAAGTGTATCTTTCTACAAAAATATTACCTTATAAAGTAACACTTTTTCCTAAGGCATTGGCTCTTCTAAATATAAATTTTTCAGAATATAGGTTTGTTGTGATTTACTGGCTTTCATATGCAAACCAGAAATTTAGAGAGAGCAACTGAGTGTTAGAACATAAAAGAATGTAGGAAGAGTTCCAATGTATGTGTTAGTTTTCCTGGCTAAGATTTTAATTGTCTTTTTTTAGTGTAGTAAATGACATTGGTTTAGATAAAGGTAGCTATTTATTACACCAGAGTTTCACAAAACTAGTATTACAGCATGCCTAGACAAGTCCTATATGTCGTAATTCAAACACAAATCATTCTGACCATGGATTCCTGCCCTAAGAATTATTCTTTAGTATTCTCTATGTAAAATTAGGCCTAAGTACTTTTCTTAAAGTAATTTTTAACAGATAATTCAGAATAAGAAAATTATTGCAGTACATCAGAATGAGCTTATTTGGAGTTTAATGGAAATCACATAAAGGTTAAAATAGATATATGTTACAAAGGAATAACATTCTGTATTAAAACAGTTGAATAGAGTCATTATAACTGGGGTTTTGGAGGTTGAAAGACACAGATTCCCCTGCTGGTTCTGCCACCAATTTGCTTTACATTTTCAAGCCATTTCTTTAAAATGGAGATGATACGTACCTCCTAGGATTATGGGATTATCGAGTGAGATAAGCATTTAATAAGTGAGAATTAATGAAAATGATACTGTTTGATCTAGAAGTTGGGAGGCCTGTATTTCAGTATTTTGGTCTCAGCTCTAGCTTAAATTAGCAATATAGATTTTTGGTGTGTAGAGAAAATAAGTGTATTGTTTTGGAACCTGTGCACAGTAGCCAGATTATCTGAATTTGAATTCCGATTTCATTACTTTCCAGCTATATGCCCTTGGGCATGTTATTTAACTTCTCTGTGATTCATTTCATCTATAAAATGAAGATAATACTAATTTCTGTTTCGTAGGACTGAAGAGATGATTAAATGGATATGTGTCTCTGTGTGTGTAAAGTTCTTAGAACAGTGCCTGGCACCACATAGTACCTAACCATTGACACTACATATGTATAGAATGGGCCTAGCAAGATGCATCCCAGGTTGCGAACAACTGACACAGATTACCTCTTAGCAGAGACTTAACATAGCATGTAACATATATTACAGCAATCACTTTCTGTGACTTTTCCTAAAGGTTATGGAAGTTTTACTCCAACACTTTTCCTGCTGTCTTTTTTTCCCTAACCTTTTCATTACCCAGGCTTATTGACACCCACTATACCTAACATAATAATTGAATCTATACATCTGTGCATGGAAATATAACCATAATCTCTGAAAAATGACAGTCACGGAAAGAGAGAGGTAACGTATTCCAGGAATTGGCAGGGCTGCTCTGTATTCCATTATGGAAACAGTACAGTGAAGGGAAGAGTAGGGAAGGGGACTAATTAAAAGCCTGAACACTGAATCTAATTCCCTCAATCTGGAGAGATGGAAATGGAGGGAGCAATTAGTAATTCAGGAAAAAGACCTAGAAGATTCCTCAAGAGACAAGTTCTTCCCTACCAATTGTGGGTTTTGTTTTTTGGGTTTTTTTTTTTCTGTTTGTTTTCTGTTTTTTGTTTTTTTATAAGAAGGAATAAAAAGAACCAGGGCTTGCCATTCTGGTTTTTCTTGGCAGGGAGGAAAGCTAACCAAAATAATCCAAAACGTTATCTTCAGGCATACTAGGATTCATTAGAAGAGAAGATCCTGTAAAATAGTAAGAATGAGATCATCTGAGAGAGGGAATATCCAGGTGAAAGAGGCACCCCAAAGGCCTCAAAGACATGAACCCTCCCGCTGGTTTTTCATATTAGCCCACTAGGGCCTGGGGAGAGTGGGGGAAGCTGCTGCAGAGAGGTGAGGAAGATCTGGGTTGAATGGAGGGTGAAAGCCACAGGATAAATAAAGCTGATTAAAATTAGATATTCTAAGAATCCATCAAAGCTCAAGAGCACCTCTCAAGAGGAAAAGGATATACTCTTGACTAAATAGAGTGAATCTGCTACAGTTCTTCCAATAAAACTGAGAAAGAGATTCTAGATACCTGGTACAGCTCTTCCTCTCCTAGCTACCTTTGTCCTGAGCGAAAAGAAGTGGAAGTAGAATACAGAATACTCACCCACAAATCTGAAGTACTTGTAAGTCTAAAATCAGGTAGCAGATAGAGAAGAGCTGCAGGAAAATTAACCCACCTACATTGGAACAATACAAGTTGTGAATAGGGCTGGACATATTAAGCATAAGTACTTTGAAAAGAAATGGTAAGGCAACTGTGTTAAAATATTGAACCAAAATAAAGCCAATAAATGCATATGTACATAAATTAATTACTTAAATTCTAATGGCTGAAAGAGTGAGCCTGGTTTCCCGGTTCTCATTATTGCTATCCTCAGCACTCCCTATACATTCTCTACAGGGCAGCTAAAGTGATCTTTTCAAAAAGTAAACCAGATCATATCCTGACACTATCCAGGGGACTCTCATTGCAATTACAACAAAGTTCAAACTCCTCACCATGGCATTTTCCCACTGACCTCTGCCTCTCACTCCAGTTTTACTTCATACAATTTGTCCTTTATGCACTATATTCTGGTCATTTTTGTCTTGTTATTATTCCTGAATGAATGGTCTGTGCTATTGCTGTTTTTCCACCAAATATTCAGATGGTTCCTATTTGTTGTTCAATCATCAATCAAATGTTAACTTTTCAAAAAGGCCTTGCCAGCAGGAGAGTCGCTTGAACCTGAGAGGCGGAGGTTGCAGTGAGCCGAGATTGCGCCATTGTACTCCAGCCTGGGCAACAAGAGCAAAACTCCATCTCAAAAAAAAAAAAAAAAAAAGACCTTCCCAGAAACCTAATTTTGCTTTATCTTGCACCCCACACCATTCACTCATCTTATTGTTTGTGGGCTAGTTCCTCCCAGAATATAAGATCTATGAGAACAGGACTCTTGTCTGTCTATGCCATTGTATTGCCAGTGCCTCAGTTAGAACCAAGTAAATAGGAGGTGCCTAGAAAATTGTAAATGAATGAATGGATAGGGTAAAATTAAAGTGATTGTGGCAGAACTAAAAAATCAAATTAAGTACAAAACAATCATTAAATTTTGAGTATATTATTATGTTTTCTATGTAATTCTCTTTGTAAGATAGAAAACTCTTTTTATTTTATTTTTCTCCAGATGGTGTTCTTTTGTTACAGTCAAACACTCAAGGAACTATTATTTAACAATGCAATAACATATGCCACAAATAATCCTCAATCAGAATGTTTCAGAAAATTTCATAGATAAAATTGAGTTCTTAAAATGTTATTGGCCAGATGCAGTGGCTCACACCTATAATCCCAGCACTTCTGGGAGGCTGAGGCAGGAGGATCACCTGAGGTCGGGAGTTCGAGACCAGCCTGATGGAGTAGTGAAACTCCCTCTCTACTAAAAAATACACACAAAACAAATGAGCCAGGCCTGCTGACACACACCTGTAATCCCAGCTACTCGGGAGGTTGAGGCAGGAGAATCACTTGAACCTGGGAGGCAGAGGTTGCCATGAGCAGAGATCATACCACTGCACTCCAGTCTGGGTGACAGAGTGAGACTCTGTCTTTAAAAAAAAAAAAGTTATCATCTGCCATAGACCCATGAACAGGACTCATGGACTGGGTAATTTTATCAGTCATTTTGATTTTGAATTGTGTTCCTCTAATGTGGGGGTCCCCGGGGTTTCCGACCAGTACCTCCACCTGAGCCGGATGCCAGAGCCTTACCTCCTCCCAGATCAGTGGCAGGATCAGATTCTCATAGACGCGTGAACTCTATTGTGAACTGCACATGCGAGGGATCTAGGTTGCATGCTCCTAATGAGAATCTAACGATGATCTGAGGTGGAACAGTTTCATCCTGAAACCATCCTCCCCACCACCCCACCCCTGTGTCTGTGGAAAAATTGTCTTCCATGAAACTGGTTTCTGGTGCCAAAAAGGTTGGGGACCACTGCTCTAATGAGTGGTGCCCATAGATCTGTGATCAACTGTTAATCTTTCAAACTACTAGTGTGTGCCCAAGATTAAATTAGATACTGTGGGAAAAACAAAATATTCAAGATGCAGTAATCATATCAGAGAGATAAAATGAACAGTATAAGTGGTTAGGCAATAAAAGACCTATTTTTAACAACGATCAAAACTTTCGCCCAGTCTTTTACATAAACCTCAGTATTAACAAAGCATTCCTATATGTACTTGCCCATTTCCTCATTATTACTTAACATGCACAAGATGTAACTCATGGAATGTCAACAATGGGCACATTGTGGCTTTATATTCTGCCACCCATTACCTCCTGATAGTCCAAATCTGTAATAATTTTCTGTTATTACCTATTTAAAGAACAAACTTTATTATAAAATGAAGGCCAAATGATACTTAGGCAAGAACAGTTCAAAATTCTGAATTGGCTTGTGCATAACCCTGATTATAAATATTCATACCTTTAAATCTTTAATTATTCTATTGTAAAGAAAGAAAACTAGGATTAAAATGAAAATGTTATGAATAGTGTTTAATGAGTAATGAAGTTTAAAAAACAAATTGATTTCACCATGTTGATTAAAAATCTCCTATATTACCTGAAATTATTCGAAGAAACTCCCCACACCTATCAAAGGAGGTAACAGAAACACCGCTTGTGTGATTCTTTGTGTACACTACACTGATCTTTTGGATTTAGTACTACTTTAGTATATTTTTCACTAAAAAGCTCTCAAATTTCTCTTGGTTTTCTAGTTGTGAAATCTAATTTTTATAGTTTTTCCATAACACAAATTTATAATTAGTAAAAAAATTCTCAGATTTATATTAAATTATCTCCTTATTATTATATTAACATTAAAGGGCCATTAGTATATCATCATA